ATATTAGACTCCATTATTTTAGTTAATTATGTGCATGTAATATTGCAGGAAACTTGTTCTCCACCCAAATGGAAATAAAAACAAAATGTGTCGATCAAAATCTCTCTACTTAGCCATGGCGAGGCAAGTTCATCCGTCCTGGTTGGGAGGTCTCTGCAGTTTTTCGATTGTTTTGTTGATCAGAACAGGACAACTACTGGTAGTTCAAGGTGTGTAGGAAAATTTTACCTTTGATATGTGTAGATAACGAGATCCATGCATCTAATCCAAATTTTGGTCTCTAATTTCATTTATCTTCAACTCCTTCATAAGCATGTGAACTAATTATTTGGTAATTGTCGCTAGATTCGCAGGGAAAGCAAAGACGGTTCCATAGATTGAAACCTGAATGGGGTTTTGATCAATTCATCCCAATTAAAGATTTACCGATGCTTCTAATGGATACCTGGTGGATGACACGTGTGAGCTTGGAGCAGAAGTGTTTGTTAGAAAGAAAGAGCAAGGCAAAGGAGAGTGTCTACATGATCGAAGATCCTCGCTGTTTAAGCATGTTTGAAGATTGACACTTTCTAAGTTAGCCTCATATTATGACTCCAAAGAATTCACTGCTGCAGGACAAATGGTATAACTCATAACACTTTCCATTGGACTTCAATGGGAATAGATTAATTAGTAAATGTTATTCTGTATTGGTTGTTGCAGGAAGATGCAGCTTATCCTAAAGGATGACTCTGGAACGGAAATCATCTTTTCTGTACTGGTTTTTGGCAGACTTAACATTTCTTACTCCGTTCTAAAATATATGTGGACTACTTGCGCATCCAGGATCAAGAGAAGGCCAGGGACCTATCTGCTAAAAGTAAAACTTATTCTTACACAGTGACTTTATACAATGAAACTTTGATATATCGATCAATTTATTAATACATGATTACTATGTTTATAAAACGATCTTAAACATTATAAGGCGAAAAAGTCAAGATTTGTGGAACTGTTCTGTATGTGAAAATTAGGAAGCTCATAATTTCTTTCTCTTGCAGAGAATCACTGGTTCAGTGCGTAAGCCGGGAAGTGGTTGGGCAAAATTTCTTCCTTAGTTTCTTCTTCTGCCTGCAAATGGTGTCTGGTGAAGGATGTTTGCTTCTTTGAAGCAGAGGTGACCATCCGGGGTATTGCTAGTACTTGTTAATAAGTTGTCTAAGTTCTCAAATTTCCCAATGAATGTTGAGAGAAGTTATAATAAATGTGGCTATTTTATTCTAAGATTGTAAATTTACAGAAGGTACCAACAATTAAAAGCTGTCTTTTACATTTGAGAAGCCAGTGCCAAACCATTGGAGGTGATAACACAAATTGCAGGAAACAATTTACATATTTACCAGGAAACATGATGTTCTCTCGCGAATGTTTCTCGCTGCTATGACATATACAGGAACCATCATTTGCTTGAAAATCTCATAGGTATCCAGCTTGCTGAAATAAAAAAATGACAATTAGAATGTAGAAGATTCTCGTACCACAGAAGCTGATTTCGAACGTCATTGGATTCAAATGACACTGAATTTTAACCTGTTTGAGGCAATGTATTATTACAAAGACAATAGAGCTTTTCAGGAGTCAGGTTAGCGTTGCTCGTAGGGATAATCACGTGCTTCTCCACCTCGTCGTGTGTCCTCTCCATTTCCAATAATTCGTTTTCCTAATCAAGTTTTAGTTCTACTATACTTCTATACATAACTGTAATATGCAAACCGTAAAGTAATAATTACTTATTTTTTGTTGAACAAAACAGTATATGCTTGATTGCTTGTAACTCTGCTAAATTTTGCCGCTTATATGCGCCGCGCCTTTCGGCCTGTACTCTATTGTAATTCCTTATTTTTAGTAGACTCTGAAATTCATCCGACTTCTTGTGCCCTGCTTGGGTATCTTCATCAGATTTTAGTAAAAGTGTACTATCTCTCCGTGTTTCAAGACTAGAGATAAGTTTTTAGTAATTTGTTTGTCTTTGTTGTGTTGCAGGAAGATACGCTCTATCAAAGGGAAGACGCCTTGGAACTGGCACTCATCTTTCTCTGTACTTGGCTCCGGCAGATTAACTACTGTTGTCCTGGTTCTAAAATATTGCTGAATTCCGTTGCGAATCCTGGATCAAGTGCAGGCCAAGCACATAGTTGGTAAGGTGGAGTTGTCCCATACTCGTTCCTTCACACCGCCGGCAGGAAGTTAATTCCAGCCACTAGCTACACATATCTAGTAAGCTCATCTATTTCCCATTCTCTGACAGCTAATACTGTTCAGTGCCTCACCGCGGATGGTTGGCCGTCGTCATTCCACTTACTTTCTGCCAGCCTGGTTGTCTCGCGGTGTTTGCTGGGGGCGAGCGGTGGCTGTCCTGGATTTCTGATGCACTGTCCGTTGACTCAGTTCCAATTTCCTCCCTCAAACAAATGTGGCTCTATTGCTCTGTGAGGCTTGTTTATCCACAGTTATCAACCACAGTATTTACATTTGCGAATCGTTCACACTGTGGAAGTGCCGTGGACATGTGGTAATTGTATCGCACTTTTCTTAGGCTCTTGGAGACTCGATCACCTCGCGTTGCTTGCGCCCTTTCCAATCCATGAGAAACCACAAAAATACTCTAATATCAAGCTAGGAGTAATTCGTCTAGTGCCAGATTTGATCAAAACCCACTGGCGCACCACCTAGCCACTCAGCGATTGCGGGCTGCGCCACGGTTTTTTTCCCCCGTTCACGGCCCTGACTATCGCGACTTCACCTATCGTGATTTGACACAGACAGCACCAGGACTGTATCTGCACAGACCCACAAGATGAACAGGCTTACTTTTAAATCAGCAGAAACCACGTCACACGTTGCCCTTTTCCTCCATAAAGCTTAACTACTTGTGTGTTGATACTCTTGTTGTAACATAAACCCGGCTATTCCATCTAGGTTTATTAGTCTTTAACACTCAACCTATCCTCTAGAGGAGTGATGCGGAATTTAAGTTAACCTAGTCTACATGGAATACTAAACCCATTGCTTGTAACAAACGATAATTATTAAGTTATGATTGGAATGATGGAGGGAAAGGTATATGGGTTAATATTTAACCTTGGGTTCACACGTCCAGAATAGAATGGTGATTGCTACATGTTACACAATTCCAGATCCTTCAGTACGACAAGAACAGTTTTACTTCCCTTACGGACACTAAATGAACTTATACAGTTCGGAAAGTTAGCTTCTATGATTATTTTGTTAATATAAATAGAGTCTCAAAGCTGATTGTTGTGCAATGTATCTCTCTCACCTGTCTAAAAACTAGTTTTTGGGTGCGGGTAGTTCATTGTTGAAAGGGATGGTATAAGATGTTATTCTCTTTGTGCTCTTTATATACGTGCATTTGGACATGATCATCAGCTTACATTATTAGTGTCTCTTATACGTAATGGTTTTATATGCAGGGATCACAAGAAATTGTATCAGCATAACACACCACCAACCTCATTAGGCCCGTCCACAATTACAGTATATTTCATACTTCCAAGAACGCTGAGAAATATGAATCTGGCCGAAATTTGAGCGGCGAGGCTAAAATGGTATTTCTTTCCTAAACCAAATCACATCAACACTGGTTCTTATCTTTTAGACCACCATTATTTTAGTTATTTTGTTTGCATGATAATGATTGCAGGAAAAACTGGTACTCCACTCAAATGGAAAATAAAAACGAGAATGTGTCAGACCACATATCTCTCTACTTAGCCATGGCGGATGCAAGGTCACTCCTCCGGTTGGGAGGTGTCCTGCAGGTTTTTATCGTTGTTTGCTGACAGACCCAGGACAAATACTTGATAGTTCAGGTGGTAGGATAATTTAGCCACCTCACTTTTTCTTGTATATTTACCGTAGTTGTGTATATAACTATTATTGACGGACGTGTAGATAAGTGATCCATGCACTCTAATCCAAGATTTTTGTCTTCATTTTTTATCTTCCGCACCCAATTAAGCATGTGACTCTTACTAATATTGGTACAATGTTATGCTAGATTCGCAGGGAAAGACAAGACGATTCCATAGATTGAAACCTGAATGGGGTTTTGATCAATTATCCATTAAAGTATTTACCGATGATGCTAATGGATACCGGTGGTGATACCGTGTGCGCTGGGAGCAGAAGTGTTTGTGAGTAAAGAAAGAGCACAGGCAAAGGAGAATGTCTAATATGATCGAAGATCTCGAGTTTAATAATGTTGGAAGATTGAAAACTTTTCTAGTTAGCTGGAAAGTATGACTCCCAAAGAATTCACTGCTGCTGAGGATCCAAATGGGTATACACTCTCAACTTTTCATTGGACTTCAAGGTGAATAGAGTAAATAGTAAATGTTACTTCTGTATTGGTTGGTTGCAGGAAGTGTAGTTCTACTCCTTAATAAAGAAGAGGACTCTGGAAATGGAAATCATCTTTCTCTGTACTTGGTTTGAGGAAAAGATAACTTCTTATCTCGGCTTCTAAAATATAGTAGACTATACTCTGCGCATCCACGATCAAGTGAGGCCAGGACTATCTGCTGAAAAGGAAAACGAGTCTTAACAACAGCGACTTTATTACAATAGAACTTTGATTATATCGATCAATTTTATTTACTACATGATCTTACTATGTCTATAAATCGATCTTAACATTATGAGACGAAAAAGTTGAGATTTGTGCAACTGTTCTGTGAAAATTAGGAGAGCTCATAATTTTCTTCCTCTTGCAGAGAATCACTGGTTCAGTGCAGAGAATCACTGGTTCAGTGCCTCAAGCCGGGAAAGTGGTTGGGCAAAATTTCTTCCCTTAAGTTTCTTTCTTCAGCCTGCAAATGGTTGTCTGGTGAAGGATGTTTGCTTCTTTGAAGCAAAGGTGACCATCCGGGGTATTGCTAGTACTTTGTAATAAGTTGTCTAAGTTCTCAAATTTCCCAAATGAATTGTAAGAGAAAGTATAATAAATGTGGCGCTATTTTATTTCTTAAAGATTGTAAATTTACAGAAGGTACCAACAATTAAAAGCTGTCTTTTACATTTGAGAAGCCAGTGCCAAACCATTGGAAGTGAATTACACACAATTGCAGGAACACATATTTACATATTTACCAGGAAACATGATGTTTCTCAGCCGAATGTTTTCTCGCTGCTATAGCACATATACAGGAACCCATCATTTTCCTTAAAAGATTCATAGATGGTATCCATGCGACTTGCTGTAAATAAAAAATGACAATTAGAAGCGTTAGAAGATTCTCGGTATGCAACAGAAGCTAAATTAAGGAAATGTCATTGAGATTCAAAATGACACTGAATTTTAACCTGTTTGAGGCAATGTATTCTTTACAAAGACAAATAGAGCTTTTCCAGGAGTCAGGTTTAGCCTGGTGCTTAAGATGTGTATAAATTGCCCAATAGACATGTCTCGAGGAACCAAGAATCTGGAACAAACAAGAGGTTATATAGGCTTACGTGAGAATTATAAACGAAAAAGTAGAATGCTATGAAGCAACACATGTTATTCCTGTTCAATAATTCGGTTTCATCAAATTTAGGAGATATATTAAAGCATAGAAATCTTTATAGCTCCAAGAACCGAACAACAATTAAACATAAAGAATTTTTCCTGATATAATAAGAATTGAACTATACAGCTAGAGCTTACTTTGTCTTTTCCATATCAGGCAGATCTGTTCTTGTATATCTTTCAATAATCACCTGTTGAAAAGCAAAAAAAAAATAAAAAAATAAAGTAAAGTTCTATTGGGTGCGACAAGGAAAGAGTAACCAATCAGTAAACAAACAATAAATTCAACGGATTCCAATCAAATGTTGCCACCTATGTTGACTTATTCTTCAAGTTAAAACATAAATCTCTCTCAAGCTTTCTGAGTTATCATTTCGGTTAGAAATTTAGGCATACAATATTCACACACAAAATAATCAAGCTTTCCCCAGAAAACAGCTACATCAAACCCTGAATTACTTTGTGGAATAACCAGAACAAAACAATGAAATTTTGTGATAAATGTCTAAAGATAATTAACGAAATTAAATCTAAATTGGATTCGTGCAAAATTAAAGATATAAATTAATGCTCCATTTTCAATGATGCTTTCTTAGAAACAATACCAACAATTCTAAAGAAATGAAACTAAGCATAAACTTACAGGAACTCTATCTGGGTATTTTGCAATGATGGACTTTGCCTCTTCAAGCCTCTCATCTACACATAACCAAAAGATCAAAGTAATTAAAAAAAACAAAAATTAAATTATCTTGAAGCTGCAATGGGGAAAATAGAAAACAAAAACATGATAACATAAAACAAAAGATTAAACTTAAGATAATATAACAAACCGAATGAATATTGCTCTTTGAAGCTCTTGACTTTCCCCATCAAATTTGAAACACAAACAAATGATAAGAGAAAAATGGGATTTCTTGGTGTTGGGTATTCTTTTTTTGGTGGGTCAAAATCAGACGAGACAAAGAACGTAAATAAGACGAGTTTGGTTGACAGCAACGAGGCAGAAGTGGCGTGTCGGTTACAATTGACAACTCAAATCCAACTATTCAAGCGGCAACTAATAGCAATTTCTGCAGCTTTGACGATTTAGTGTTTCCAATGGGCCTTTTTCATGGGCTTCAATTTGGGCCTAGTTCTGCAAACCCTTTGATAGTCTTATTTTGGTTACAAATGGAAATATCGTTATTTGTAACCAAAATAAGACCATTACAAATTGTGGGTACCATCATTGTCCCCAACATTTTCAACAATGGACCCAAATCCAAATTGATTTAACAAGACTGAAAATTTCTGGCAATCTCAGCCCACCGCTCGCATACTTGGGCATCACCTAGACAACCCAGCTCCAGCTGCAACATTTCCCAGCCGCTGCACCTTTGTGGGCTACATTTCCATAAAACAAGGTCGAACATGTTCATTGCCTAGGCCTTAAATGAGAGGAACTCGCATAGAAGGCTTTTTTTATTGATGAGATGTCTATGCATCGGCTGCAGTCAAGAATTTCTCTCTATCCTGGCTCTGTAACCTTCAAGAGTCAAGAAATTCATTCTTTTCCCAGTTAAAGGAGGTATTATAAAATAAAATCGCAAAGCCACCGTCAGTGTCATCACCAAATAATTAAATTGCACGTGATGTCAACATATATTTAAGGTCATTTTCATTATTCTAATAGTTTTTAGATTAATATTTTAAAAAAATTAAATATTACGATATAAAATTTAAAAATTAGTAAAAATATCCTTTATATTTGTTTATTTATTAAATACTTATATAATAAAATATTAAAAATTATCAAAAACACTCTCAATCCACTCATTAAATATGAACAGTTAGCTACCACTATCGGAGGGTGGCTATAGCGTTTTTATAATTTCTAAAAAAAGTTGACAGTGTTTAATTAAATTAATAAATTTAAAAAGTTTAAAAGAAATTGAATAATATAAAATAATATTGTGAGAATAAACAAATTTTACTGTTTAACATCAGTTGGAAAATTTTGAATAACAATAATGCTATAGACACCGAAAAAACTGCACCGAAATCGTGTACCGGCCTATGTGTAACACTCCTCTCATTTTTTTTAGTGAACGGCCGTCCATCAAATTTAGACGGTCATTTACTCACATGAATGTCCGTCCATATTATATGGACGGACATCCATATATAAGGGACGGATGTCCCTATTTAAAGGATATCCATCCATAAATAAATTATGAAAATTAAAAAAAAAAAAAAAACTTTGGGGACAGCCGTCCATAATTCCTTACGTTTGGACGGTCCATACTTTTAAAAAGAAAAAAGAAATGTTTGGACGGACATCCATTATTTTAGTTTCTACAAATTAAAGAAAAACTTTGGATGGGACGGGCGGACGCCCATCCATTACTTACGTTTTTGTGAACTCTTTCAGTGATAGCAATCTCATGCAATATCTCCTGCACATTATCAGCCAACTTTTTGACGTCCTCCAGCCGGTATAGTACGTTTGCATCTGGTTGAAGTTTTGTAGCTTATCCTTATTCTCTTCATCGCTACTGACTTCCCCGAAAATCTTAAACTCTTGCCTCCCCAAAAAAAACACAGTGAATGAAGACGAAGAAGTAGACGGGCGAAGTTCTGCACCTTCTTCACTTGCCTCCATGGAAACTTTATTGCATCCTTCTGAAGTTTCGGACACTTTGTGCTAGTGGCTATTGTGCACTGGGCTGCCATGGGAGTTGCACGCACAACAAGCAGATTGACCGTACTGTGCATGGGAATTTTTCAAACTTACCATGTAATTGTGTTTCCTGAAACAAATTAACTCTTCTGTGCTTTCCACCAAGTATGCCTTTTATCTCTAGTTCTTTTGCTTACAGTACAACATGTTTTTCTGCTCATCTTTCAGCGGCATATGTATTGCCCAGTCGTGAAGCCCTATGTTTAGGAGATAGGGTCATAATGTATCTTCCACGTTGTGCAGACACTAATTCTGAAGTTAGAAAACTTTCTGCTCAGGTATGAATTTTATAGGCAGTTGGTAGTTTCTCCTATGGTTGAATACTTGCAAGTCTTTTACATAAAGTTTAGTAGCTCTCCAAATATTTTACTCAGAAATTTACTGTCCCTCAATTTTTATTTTGGTAGATTCTTGATCAACTCTTTAGCATCTCTCTTTCACTTCCAAGGCCTGTTGGTTCAAGAGTTTTGCACCGAAAATTTTCAGGTAATTTTAAACACAGTGAATGAAGACGAATACACTATTCGTCTTCATTCACTGTGTTTTTTTCGGGAAGGCAAGAGTTTAAGATTTTCGGGGAAGTCAATAGCGATGAAGAGAATAAGGATAAGCTACAGAACTTCAACCAGGATGCAAACGTACTATACTGGCTGGAAGACGTCAAAAAGTTGGCTGATGATGTGCAGGAGATAATGCATGAGATTGCTATACGTAAGTAACCCGTTCCATCCAAAGTTTTTCTTTAATTTGTAGAAACCAAAATAACGGAGAATGGACGCCCGTCCGAACAATTTTTTTTTTTTAAAGTATGGACGGACGTCCATTAGAATGGACACCCGTCCAAACATAAGGTTATGGATGACCGTCTCCAAAGTTTTTTTTTTTTTTATTTTCATAATTTATTTATGGACGAGCGTCCTTTAAATGGGGACTCCCGTCCCTTATATATGGACATCTGTGTATATAATATGAACAGGTGTCCATGTGAATGCATGATCGTCCAAATTTGATGAATGATCGTTCACTAAAAAAAATTATAAAAAAATGAGAGCCATGTTACACGTAGATCATTACACGATTTTGGTCAGTTTTTTATCGTGTTCGTTGCATTATTGTTTGAATAATATTAGGAAGAGTGAAACAAATGAACCTCATTTTCTCACATTTAATTCCCTTTGTATGAGCATTTAATTTCATTGAACTTTGTATAGTAGTACTCACATGTAGCCGTTGCCCACGTGATCATCAGGAGAGTTTCCAGCCGTAGATTTAGCTAATTGTTAGTTTGCTACAATATAACTATCAAAAGGAAGTTTCTGACCCACCAACCAAAATTAAAACAATATTACTACATCGATAATTTTCTTTTATACGAAATAATTTATAATTAATCAGTTGTTTCATATAGGTTTTATTAATTAATTATGAATTAATCAATTATAAACTAGAAAAAAATTTAAAAATTAATTATGAATTCATCAATTACAAAATACTATGTTAACAAAAATTTGAAGAAAAAAAATTATGAGTATAATATTATTTAAATTAAAATCTGAAAACTTACCACCGGCACAAACAAGCCGTGGGAAATCACCACGTGTTGGCTTATCTTGAAAGACTTGAACTGTTGGACTATTACAAGTCAAAAAAACTCTCAACCGAGTGGTGTGTTTTGGACTCATCAAAATGTTACAACCAACAACAGCCTGGGCTCGGGGGTTGGTAGCTGGCATTGGTCATAATCATTCACCGAACCCCAGGAATATCAACGGCTGAGATCTTTCTCTACTAAAATCTAGAGGTCACCCGGCAGATCTTCGGTGAAATGAACCTAGCCCATATCATGTATCTGGGGGCCTTCGACACTGCCCTATAAATTGCCCTTTTCTGGTTCAACTGACTCGCACACCAGCTCCAAAGATAAGAGTTTGAATCGAGGTACCTATTTATCAGAAATATTGTAAAACTTATGTGGATTGTTTGTTATCTTTAGTGAAATAATATTAATTCATTGTGTTTTATGCAGCTAAGCTTGAGAGAAATGGAGACTTTTCTATTTACTTCCGAATCTGTGAACGAGGGACACCCAGACAAGCTCTGTGACCAGGTTTCTGATGCAGTTCTTGATGCTTGTTTGGCTCAGGATCCCGACAGCAAAGTGGCATGTGAAACATGCACCAAGACCAACATGGTGATGGTGTTCGGAGAGGTCACCACTAAGGCCAATGTGGACTATGAGAAAATCGTGCGTGACACTTGCAGAGCAATTGGGTTCACTTCTGATGATGTTGGACTTGATGCTGACAGCTGTAAAGTTCTTGTTAATATTGAACAACAAAGTCCCGATATTGCTCAAGGTGTTCATGGTCATTTGACTAAAAAGCCTGAAGAGATTGGAGCTGGTGATCAGGGTCACATGTTTGGTTATGCCACTGATGAAACTCCTGAATTGATGCCACTCAGTCACGTTCTGGCAACAAGGCTTGGTGCTCGTTTAACAGAAGTTAGGAAAAATGGAACCTGTCCATGGCTGAGACCTGATGGAAAAACCCAAGTCACAGTTGAGTATTACAATGACGATGGCGCCATGGTTCCTGTTCGTGTTCACACCGTTCTCATTTCAACACAGCATGATGAGACAGTTACAAACGATGAAATTGCAGCTGATCTTAAGCAACATGTGATCAAGCCTGTGATTCCTGAGAAATACTTTGATGAAAAAACAATTTTTCATCTGAACCCGTCTGGGCGTTTTGTCATTGGTGGGCCTCATGGTGATGCTGGGCTTACTGGCCGTAAGATCATCATTGATACTTACGGTGGATGGGGAGCTCACGGCGGTGGAGCCTTCTCAGGAAAGGACCCAACCAAGGTGGACAGAAGTGGGGCCTATATTGTTAGGCAAGCTGCTAAAAGTATTGTGGCAAATGGGCTTGCCAGGAGGTGCATTGTTCAGGTTTCTTATGCTATTGGTGTGCCTGAGCCTTTGTCAGTCTTTGTGGATACTTATGGTACTGGCAAGATTCCTGACAAAGAGATACTGAAGATTGTGAAGGAGAATTTTGATTTCAGGCCTGGAATGATTTCTATAAACCTTGACCTTAAGAGGGGTGGCAATGGCAGGTTTTTGAAGACTGCAGCTTATGGACATTTTGGTAGAGATGATGCAGACTTCACTTGGGAAGTTGTGAAGCCTCTCAAGTGGGACAAAGTTCAAGCTTAATCGACTGGGATTCAGTTTTCTCTGTTTTGGGTATACTATACTCTACCACTGAGGGAAATTGCCTTCTGGCTGTTTTGTGTTTTCATATGTTTTTGTTTTGTTTTATATTTTCTATCTGTTTGAATGATGCCTATATTTGAGGCATAAAGAGAAGTGAATACAGATTGTATTGAATGCCATTTTGTTGGGTTGCTAAAATGTGAAATTTATTTCTTTCTCTTGATAAAATGTGTTCCTTGTCCATGACAGAATCTTATTTTGTCTAAGATTTTGTTCTGTCTAATATTGAGCTATATTACAGAGTGTTATGGTTAGTGACTTATTTTGGTCAATACACTCTGATTAGAAAGAGCTGATTCATTTATAATGTTACTAAGTTGATAATAACAGTTGAATTGGGGAAAAAAGTAATGCACGCAGAGCAAATGTGGAATATGAGACAAGTAAACATATTCTCTGAACACTTGTTGAATAATCAAATCAAAACCATGTCCACTTTTATTTTAAAAAAAAAAAAAAAAATCAATTACATAACATAGGATCAGAATTCAGAACCACAAGAAGACAGTCCAGACCCCATTATTTACTATTTCCTTCTCATTGGAGTCGTGCTAAATGAGCTAAATCCTTTCATAACTGTGGATATACGCAACTTCCAACAGCTGCAAAAAAGGAAACCAGAAACTCATCAAATCTCTTCAATTAACAATTAAATTACAGTACTTAGTTATAGGCCTAGAACTAGAAGGCATATGGATGTTAACTTACATGGATCATCATAAACAAGAATGCCACTGTTATTGAAATTGCAATTGTGGAGATGCTTTCCCATTATCTGGTAGTAGATGTTCATTACAACTGATGCATTGGAAACTTTGTTTGTAGGGTTGTAACAGGATCCCCCATCTTCAATATCTTTGCAGGAGGCAGGAACCTCTGTGCAACAGAAGTCTATGTTACGTTGAAGCTGATCATCAGACATCGAAGGTTTCACAATGCACCAGTTTCTCTGAAACTGGTTGTCCTACCGATCAAAATAATATACTTCAGAGTTGCAAAAGGAATGCATCAAATGTTCAAAAAACCAAGAAGGTGAGTTTAATTGTACCTGCTTATCCTTCACTGCAAGAGGCATTGCTTCTGCAAAAAGTGACCATAGAATTAGATTAGAGGTGTTACAAAGACGTCATTTATAAAGGAAAACATACGAAATTTAATCAATTAATGGATTTTATTAGTACACGGCTAAACTCATGTACCTGTGCTCATAGCATAACACAGGAGACAAGCCAAAGCGAAAATTACAGAAGCTGAAGATTTTTTTGCCACAGACATTTTCTTAATACTGAGAAAGCAACAAGAACGAGAAAGAATTAAGAGATATTATTGCAATGCAGCTTCGGTTTGCAATGTTAATGCTGCTTATATAGAGGGAGAATGTACAAGTTACACTGCACCATTAATGAACATAACATCGCTTAGTGCTAAATGTATTACACTGTTCCAGTTCATGCAATATGTTGATTGTACAAACCCATACAAGGACGGAATATAGGAAACAAAAATGATCAGTAAGATATGCATATATTCTTGTTTCTATATTTATAATATGCTTTGGCTTTATTGGGTTCGAGTTCATAGACTTGATTCATTACAACTGAAAATCAGAGCCTGTTTTGACATTAATGCCTTTCATTAGAGACAAATAATAGATTGGTAGTGAAATTAACTTGCTAAATTTACTCATTTCGTGTTGTATTCGATAATCTTGCATGATATTACCATGATAGAGTTTATATATAGTATGCAGTTTTCACCTACTAATCTTTATATAACCTCCTTATTGTAATTTCCAGATCTGGTATTTGATTTGAGCTGTATGAGATTATTGACTGTTTTAACTTGTTTAATTTAGTGAAAAAGTTGTTGAGTTTTGACAACTTAGATTAGTGATATTACAACACAACAAATCTGCAGTGTATCAGTATCTGTTCCAACATGACAAATTGTCATCGGAATATGCCATATATATTGACACAGTCTAGCGTTGTTGACCATTTAACAAGTCCCGATCAAACTTGCGCCGATTCATAGATCTATTACAACATGAATGGTGCATTGTTATACAATATGTACTGAGCGTAGCCTGCGACGCCTTGCTGGCGTCAGAGAAGGATAAAAAGGCTGCCCCGACACCAATAGTAACTTGTGTTTTTGGTTTCTTATATCCTAAGCATATAGAAACCTGTGGACAAAGGGATTGTGCTTTAATTGTTTGCCCATGTTATATATGTAGTTGGATTCATAATAGTACTGAAATTGGGACTTGATATTAGGCTGATCGACTGATGTAATTAGTGAGGGCAGAAAATGAGAGAACAACATAAGAAGATCTGCAAAAACTGAAAAAAATTCGCTACTTAAGGCTTCTAGCTTTTTTTTATTTTACAAATACAAGTTGAATTAATGCCTGATGAGAAATCTTAGATATTGTCACAAGTTCATTACAAACCTGTATCGATACATTTGAAGCCTTTATCTAATTTGTAGCTCAATGCCAAGCCTTTTATCAATGTCAATTAGAGAGATTTAAAGCTTTTTACTAGAAGAGTTTGCATATGTAAGATTATCATAGAATAACTCATCAAGAACTGAGAAGAGGATTGGGAAACAAATAAATAAACAAAGGGCTAAAAGTATGCTACTCAATCGTTTTGTTTATTTTTTATTAAGCAACTCCATAGATATTACAATACAAGCCACAACATTTTTAACATCAAGTCATTTACTTCATTTAGTATGAGATATCTGTTACTCATATTTGCATTCCCTCCTCATCATCATTCTTCAAATTTGCATTCTCCTAAAGCTGCAAGCAAGACGTGAAAATCAAATACATCAGATGTCTTCTTCAAGTTAATTGCATAGATTATTGTTCCCCATTACACCCTGAAATGAAAGTGCAAAATTTCAGGGGTAGATTCATTATAACTGATAAGGGTAGTTTTTGTTATTGTTTAAACTATGGAGCATTTATAGATATATTTATTACTCTCTATAATATTGATTTATCCGTCACTATTATTTTGGCCAAAGTTTTATAGATATGATTATTACTCTATAATATTATTACTTACATGGATCCTGAGAGACAATAAGACCAGTCTGCTGGAAATCACAGGTTTGGGGTTGCTTATTCATGGCCTTGTAGTAGAGATTCATCACAATTGAAGCCTGTAAGTAGATGTTGTTTGGGCAATCACCAAGTTCAATATTACTGCAGTTAATCACTGGTTGGTCGCAGCAGAAATTTATGTTGTCAATAAGTTGCCGAGGTGCAGTTGAAGGCTTAGAAATGCACCATGTGTTTTCCCCTTCGCGACCTTGCACCTTCTCTAGCCCAATTGCTGGATTCTGGGCAGCTGGAGGGACTGATAAAGCATTGCCATCCTTATTATGCCCGTGTATATGGATTATTGGTGGCCTTACAGGCTCACTGTTCACTGCAAACTTGAATTGCTCCACCTGTTTTAGAGACCCCAGATTGTTAATATTCTAATACATATACCAGGAACAATATTAACTTGTGAGTTATCATAATAGAAAATAACAAACAATCAGAAACCTTTAATAACGCATATGGTGCATTGTTGAACATGGTTTGCTGTTTAATAATATGCATTGCCCATTGTTTTTTAAGTCATATTTCTTATAATGACTTCAACAAAGGGGCTAAAAACCAGTACCTGTTCACCTTTATTTGCTACAGCCATTGCCTCTGCACGTTATTGAAATAAGACATTAATTAGACCATATTGATTGCATAACTAAGACAGTGTATATGAATTGAAAGTAGAATCCTAGACAGTAGACATTATAAACATGTTAGAAACCTGAGTTCATAGTGAAGATGAGGAGAGAAATGAGAATTAGCAAAAGGTTGAAAGCTGAGAGCTGGTTTGCCATTGACATGAAAGAACAAAGTTGAAGATATATGAAAGACTTGAAGAATGAGTGTGTCATATACTGCTATTTGAATGAGGCTGCAACTGAACCCACTAAAGCTCTATTTATGTCTCAATTATCTGGCTGTGGTATGTTTGAATTGGACTGATAACTGAAATCTATCTTCTATTCGAGAACATTACGTATACCCACCTCACCAACAATAAAATCAGTAATCTTATGAGTTGCGTATTCTCCAATACATCAAAGAAGACACTAAGACTTTAATCTTCTTTAAAAATAAATTTTTTATCCGTTATTAATCTCATATACATTTCTAATAAAATAAAATAAAAAATATTTTAATTATATATTTTAGACACAAAGAAGTGACCATTATTATCATGATTATTTTTTATACTCCTTTAGAGAAGATATCAAAAAGGGCTGAAATAGAGATTGAGTTTAGCCCAGATTCAACTCATTGGGCTTTATTTGGACTTTGACATTTAGATAATATAATCAAAGCCCAATTAATATCTACGAAGTTGGAATATTTGTAAGACACGGGAAAATATGATACGATTATGGGGTGTTTGTAAGCTTTAAAATTAAGTTGACCTNCAAGAAGCAAAAGAGGAATTGGCTTAGTGGGTTTTGGCTCATTGTGACACACACACACACACACATGGTCTATCTTTTGTTTTGAAGGAAACAAGCAAAATCAATTATTGGGATTTTAGTGTTTTCAGCTTTTAAATGTTTCTCTATTGGCCTCCACATTTTGCAAAAGAGGCAAAAGCAAGAGTTCATAAAGGTGGCCACACGACAATGATGCAGACAACCATAAACTCATTGCTCCATTAACATCATTGTAAGTAGGGGTGTTCGGTTTTAGGTACCCTGCATTTTTTGAAAGAACCAGAATCGGAACTGACGGTTCCTTGAAATTTGAAATTGGAACCAGAACCGACAGTTCCGATTCCTAGGTTTCGGTTCTGGGTATCCTGTAAAATTTTAGTTACCCCCAAAAGTTTTTAAAATGGCAAAAAAAACCTTTAAAAACTTACAAATACCCCTCCACCTGGCACTTGTTAACAAACATAAAATTACAAATTCAATTACTTTGAAAAGGTAGATTATTAAAAGTCAAACTAACTTACTTTAAATGTTATGAAATATAAATATAAATGTATTCACATTACTTTTTCTATAAAAGTTTTTATTAACCCCTCCTACTCTTTAATTTTATTTTATATTAGTCTCGGTTCCCGGTTCTGGTTCCCGTTCCTAACTATAGGAACAAGAATTAGAACCGCACAGTAACGGTTCCAAAAATTTGGAATCGAAACCTACCCGTTGACAATCGGTTCCAGTTCCAGGTAGGAACTGGAACCAAACCCTATTTACCCTTCAGTTTCGGTTCCAATCGGTTCTTTTGAACACCCCTAATTGTAAGCATGAATTTTGAGCCTTAAATATAAGGTTTGCCCCTATGATGCAAAGCCAAATACAAATACACTTAAATTGAAAGCAAAAGTAATTATAAATTGCATTTGCCAAAAGTCGAACCTAATCTATTACTCCGAAGGCCAATTATCCTAACCGTTCGACTGCAAATATTTACATTTTGCTATTGCTATAATACTAATATTTATTGAGTTTTCTCTATTTCCGGTCTTTAATGACCTTAAAAAAATTTGATAAAACGGTTAAACATTTTGTTTATGAATTTCAATTTTCTCAATAAATTTATTTAATGACTTTAGTAACCACCCTAATAATCTCCCTCCTTGCTTTGAAAAAATATTTAATGAATCTCATTTGTTCATTCTTTTATCTTCTTTAAGTTTTTATATATAAATGGATGTATAAGTTTTACGTTTTTTATTTACTAGTTTTACGTAGTTTACAAAATTCATGTTAATGATCATCATCATCTTCAAATTTGCATTCTCCTAAAGCTGCAAGCAAGAACGTGAAAATCAAATACATCAGATGTCTTCTTCAAGTTAAGCATAGATTATTGTTCCCCATTACAACCTGAAAGTGCAAAATTCAGGGTGGATTCATATAACTGATAAGGGTAGTTTTGTTATTGTTTAAACTATGGAGCATTTTAGATATATTTATTACTCTATAATATGATTTATCCGTCAACTATTATTTTGGCCAAAGTTTTATAGATATGATATTACTCTATAATTTATTACTTACATGGATCCTGAGAGACAATAAGACCAGTCTGCTGGAAATACAGGTTTGGGGTTGCTTATCATGGCCTTGGTAGTAGAGATTCATCACAATTGAAGCCTGTAAGTAGATGTTGTTTGGGCAATCACCAAGTTCAATATTACTGCAGTTAATCACTGGTTGGTCGCAGCAGAAATTTATGTTGTCAAGTTGCCGAGGTGCAGTTGAAGGCTTAGAAATGACCATGTGTTTTCCCTTCGCGACCTTGCACCTTCTCTAGCCCAATTGCTGGATTCTGGGCAGCTGGAGGGACTGATAAAGCATTGCCATCCTTTTATGCCCGTGTATATGGATTATGGTGGCCTTAACAGGCTCACTGTTCACTGCAAACTTGAATTGCTCCACCTGTTTTAGAGACCCCAGATTGTTAATATTCTAAACATATACCAGGAACATATTAACTTGGAGTTATCATAATAGAAATAACAAACAATCAGAAACCTTTAATAACGCATATGGTGCATTGTTGAACATGGTTTGCTGTTTAATAATATGCATTGCCATTGTTTTTTAAGTCATATTTCTTATAATGACTTAACAAAGGAGCTAAAAACCAATACCTGTTCACCTTTATTTGCTACAGCCATTGCCTCTGCACTATTGAAATAAGACATTAATTAGACCATATTATTGCATAACTAAACAGTGTATATGAATTGAAAGTAGATCCTAGACAGAGACATTATAAACATGTTAGAAACCTGAGTTCATAGTGAAGATGAGGAGAGAAATGAGAATTAGCAAAAGGTTGAAAGCTGAGAGCTGGTTTGCCATTGCATGAAAGAACAAAGTTGAAGATATATGAAAGACTTGAAGAATGAGGTGTGTCATAACTGCTATTTGAATGAGGCTGCAACTGAACCCACTAAAGCTCTATTATGTCTCAATTATCTGCTGTGTATGTTTGAATTGGAATGATAACTGAAATTATCTTCTATTCGAGAACATTACTATACCACCTCACCAACAATAAAATCAGTAATCTTATGAGTTGCGTATTCTCCAATACATCAAAGAAGACACTAAGACTTTAATCTTCTTTAAAATAAATTTTTTCCGTTATTATCTCATAACATTTCTAATAAAATAAAATAAAAAATTTTAATTATATATTTTAGACACAAAGAGGACCATTATATCATGATTATTTTTATACTCCTTTAGAGAAGATATCAAAAAGGGCTGAAATAGAGATTGAGTTTAGCCCAGATTCAACATCATTGGGCTTTATTTGGACTTTGACATTTAGATAATATAATCAAAGCCCAATTAATATCTACAAGTTGGAAATTTGTAAGACACGGGAAAATATGATACGATTATGGGGTGTTTGTAAGCTTTAAAATTAAGTTGACCTATTTGTTTATAACTTTTTTGAACTTATAAATTGAGCTATAAGTAAAAAAAAATAAGTTCGGGGGGAGGGAGAGGCATTTTTTTTTTTTTTTTTTGCTTATAAGCTAGATTGACCAAATATACATATTATCCTTATAATTTTAAAATTCCATAGTATATTCTTGTTTATATAATACCATTTTTATCATTTAAAAAAATGTACTATAAGCCACATTTTACTAAACGTCAACTACTTATCTCACTTTAAATACTTTAATCAATACGTAATTACTTAAAATTTCAATGCTTATAAGCTAATTTTCATAAACTCAAACAAATACCCTCTATGTCAACTTAATTTTTTGAACTTTTATTATTGGTGTGATGGAGAAGTTAACTCAAACTATTGGATTCTATATATAGATGATTAGAAATTAATATCACAACTTCAAGTCAAGAATTTAAGACGATATAACCTACTCCATTAATTAATAAAAAATACATTTTAACTACTTATACTTTTAAAGATGTGATATTAGATTAAGAATCCCACTTGAATTATAAAAAAAAAATAAAAATTTAAGATTGAAACTTTATAAGAATAAGATTATAATATTACTTCCAAATAATATAATAATAAGTCAATTCAATTGGTTTGAAGAGTGAAAGTGGAGTAGTTATATTAGAATTTCCTAACGCAGAGAAAAAAAAATATCTTCTAAGTTTGGAAAATTGGTAATGGCAATGGCTTATGGTAGGGCTATGACTATCTCACTCTTTATTAGTCCCATTAAACCAACCCAATTACATCACAAAGTCGTAAGCTGAAATTTAGTTGGCATTTGGTACACATTCCATAAGAAAAATAATATAATAAAAAGTGGAGATATTCTAAAGAAATGTCTAAGTCTTGGGCCCAAATGTTATGACTTGAATATTAAAGAAAGGGAATTGATTTGATGATAAAGAAAGGATAGGGTTAAGTAATGTGTCAAGAAGATCTTTTACTTTTCCTTTTTGATATGCATGAAGATAAAGCAGTGGAGACAAATAAAATACCCTTAATAGAGTTTCAAATTTTCAATACTACAAGTAAAGTATAATTAAGTAGTGAACTTGTAGATTTCCCATTGATTGAAGCTCTTTTTCTTTTTCTGGGTTTGCATTCATATTATAAAGCTTAATAAAAAAAAGGGATTCCACATGATGCACACACCACAAGACATCCATTTATAATGTTACTAAGTTGATAATAACAGTTGAATTGGCGAAAAAAGTAATGCACGCAGAGCAAATGTGGAATATGAGACAAGTAAACATATTCTCTGAACACTTGTTGAATAATCAAATCAAAACCATGTCCACTTTTATTTTAAAAAAAAAAAAAAAAAAAAAAAATCAATTACATAACATAGGATCAGAATTCAGAACCACAAGAAGACAGTCCAGACCCCATTATTTACTATTTCCTTCTCATTGGAGTC